ATGCTTGGATCTTACTCTTCAATATCTTCTACAAGAGAAATTCTATTAGTGGAAAATGACATGTAGAAAATAAGAGAATTTATGAAGTGATCCTAAAATATACTCCAGTCTTCTTCATGCACATGAAATAATTTCTTCCATGTTTGGCACGGGAGTAAATACCTATATAGGGAATCATAGCAACATCGAAGAATTCCATAAATATTACCAACAGTACCACCAGGGGGCACTATAGGCCCAAAAGGAGCAAAGTTATTATACCCAGAATGGGGAGCCAACATTACAAACCACTTTATGTCTGTCTGCCAGTGGACAAATCTCAATCCTCACATAGACTCCATTTGTTTCCCCAGCCACAGGTTTGTGCCTAATAGCATGTTCTGGCTTTTCTAATAACTCTTTCCCCCCTGAATGTCTGCCATTCTCCCTGGACACCACCCCTACCATTTCCATTCCCTGTCTCCCTCATATACACCTTCTTTCTTCCCTGCAGATAGCTGCCAGCCCTATACCTTTTTCTACTTTCACATACTTCCTACTCAAGTATCTTCACACAATTGACCTCTTCCAATGTTTTAACTCAATTATTTCCCAAATAAAACCTTTTCTATGAAATCTATTTATAGTAACAGGGGTAGGAATTACAATTTGAGATAGATTCAAGTTAATTAATCTCTGAAATGTGATACAGTCCCATACCTCCAACTAAAGATAAAAATCTTCAGAAGAAAGGTTAAATGCAGCCTGAGTGCGGAAGCCTGCTAATTTCTCAGGAAAAATTCCTGTAGATTCATTTCTGTCCCATTGGTCAAAGCTGAGTTCTAATTTTTTATTGATTCTATACTTCACATCCATACATTTCTACTTTGTTATCACTTTTATATATTTGCCCTAAGCTGGTTTTCTAGGCCAATGTCAAATCCTTTCATCTTTCAGTCCCACTGATGTAATTACTTTTGCAACTTTAATAACTCACATATCATTCAATTCACCATTTAAAGTGTACAATTCACAGGCTTGTGTAATTATCACATAATACATTTCAGAACATTGCCACAACCCCAACCAGAAACCCTGCACCTACTTAGCAGTCACGCTTCACTCCATGCCCTCCTTTGCCTCTACCCCAGCTCCAGGAACAACCTTCTTTCTGTCTCTGCAGACTGGCCTATTCTGGACATAGAATCCTATAATATACTAGGGGCCCAGTGCACAAATTTGTGCACCTTGAAAGGAACTGTGGTCCACGAGGCTACAGTAGGCACAGGGGTGGGTATCGGCCCATCCTATATGCCCAGCCCACCCCCTCCCACTTCGGTCCCAGGTCCCGTCTGCTGGCAGCTCCATTCCCACCGCCACCACCGCTACACACTGACAGTGCCAGCCCTGCTTGCACCCACTGATGGCATGGCATGAAGTGATTGGGGCAGGCACAAGCAGTGCATGTGAGTAGTGGCTGCTGCACCCATCACCCCTCAGTAGCAGGGGGAGGTGGAAAAGCCTTCAGGGACAAACAGGGCTGGCAGCTGCTGCCTGCACCCACTGATGGCGCCAAGTGATCAGGAGCAGCGCCATGTACTGGCAGTGGGTGCAGGTGGTGACTCCGGTGCTGGCTACAGATATAAGCGTGGTTGGCACTGGCAGTCGGTACAGGTGGTGGCTCTGGTGCCAGCAGCAGGTGCAAGTGCCAGGTGGGACCCAGGCACACAGGAGCAAAGAATTTTCAGTATCCACCAGAGGCTAGCCCCATGACAGCAACCGGTTCCCCACCTTGGTCTGGTGCCCTTGCTCATCTGCTCTACCATCCCGCCACAGCCAACAGTGGTCAGCGCATATCATAGCAACTGGTTGTTCAGTCGGAGCGTCTGCCCCTGGTGGCCATTGTGCATCATGGCTACTGGTTAGATGGTCACTCAGGCTTTTATATATGTAGACTAGAGGCCTGGTGCACAGTGGGATCCCCTCAGCACAGCCTGCACCCTCTCCAATCTGGGACCTCTTGGGAGATGTCCAACTACTGGGTTAGGCCTGATCCTCAGGACCACTGGCTCCTAATTGCTCACCTGCTTGCCTACCTGATTGCCTCTAACTGCCATCCCTGATGGTCTGGTCACCCCCAACTGTCCCCTCTGCTGGCCTGGTCACTCCTAACTGCCTCTCCTGTCCACCTAATCACCTCTTACTGCCCCCCTCCTGCCAGCCTGGTTGCTCTCAACTGCCCGCCCCCCCGCCAGCCTGGTTGCCCCTCACTGTTCCCCCACACACACTGGCCTGGTCACCTCCAACTGTCCCCCCAGCCAGCCTGGTCGCCCCATGCAGCCTGCTGCTCAGTTGTTTCGTCGGCCCTCACTAATCCCCCTGCTTGCCTGGTTGCCCCGCAAGCTTGTTTGGTCGTCCATTCGGTTGTTTCTACTGTACGGACATACCACATTTAATTTATCTAACCACCAGTTAATGGGCGTTTGGGTTGCTTCCACATTTTGACTACTATGAATAATAGTACTATAAAGGTTTATTTTAAATTTTTGGTACGGATATATGTTTTATTATCTTAGGTATTCTTCTGGATTTAACTGTATCTACCTCTTCTCCTCCCCCCCCCCCAAAAAAAAAATGTTGAAATCCTAACCTCCAGTACCTTAGTAAGTGATCTTATTTGGAAATAGGTTTTTATAGAGGTAACCAAGTTAAAATGAGGCTAATGGGGTAGGCACTAGTCCAATATCACTGATGTAAGGACAAAAGGGGGAAATTTGGACAAGAATCAGAGATATACACAGACAGAAAGCCAAGTGAAGACAGGGGTTTGCAGCAATGGATCTACAAACCAAGAAACAGATTTGTAGATTTCCGGCACTCACCGGAAGGTACAAGAGGCATGAAAGGATTCTTTCCTAAAGCCACCAGAGAGAGCGTTACTCTGCCAACATTTTTATTTAGGACTTCTAGCCCCCCAAGCTATGAGAAAATTCCTATCTGTTGCTTTAAGTAATCCAGTTTTTGGTATTTTGTTACATCAGCACTAGGAAACTAAAACAGATATATACCTAGGACTGGAATTGCTGGATCATATGATAACTATATATAATCTGTCAGAGGACTGCCAGATTGTTTTCCAAAACAGCTTTACCATTTAATTGTTTCTCAATAAACTATTAATTATTTCAAAACCTCTCTTAAATATGTAAAATAAACTTTTCTATGTGTAACCTTGCCTTCCTCTGGTAATTCTCCCTCATTCCCCACCATGGTGACACTTTTCTTTGGCACCATTTGTTAAACTATCCTATTTCCTTCAAAAAAGAACAGTAACAAATAGTTAAATCATCAATGCACTAATAGAGAAGCACTAGAATGAGATATGGTTGGGCTACAGAATAATATTAAAGACATTTAAACCTGAAGATAGGAGAGTAGATGATACTAAATGGCAGGGTTTTGTTTTTAAAGGGAAAATTTCCTAGCAAGGACAAGAAAGCAAAGAGGACCATAAATGATAACATTTTCTTGAGGGAAGTGTGCCTAGCCACAAAGAGAGCCAAGTTCCATCTCTGAAAAGAGAAATTGGCATGTGAAAAAGTACATCTTCTGGAAGAAACTTTGAAATTATAAATTTCAGTCTGTTGTCCTCCTAAGAGGAGCCTCAATCTTTCTTCAAACAATATTATAGTCCAATAATAATGAAGTTATATATCACTTAACCAAACATCTGTTCTGAACAAGGAAGAATAGAATCCTTTATATAGTTGAGTAAATAAGATATATACACACACATCCAAACAGATCGAGCGCCATGTCTAGACAATAAAGTTTTTAACAGCCAATAAAGTCTGTAGATCTTAAATTTCTGCAAAACTAATGGATGCAGGTATATGAGTAATGATTTGGCTGTTGGCCATGTTATAAAAATTAGGGCTAAAAAAACATACACTAAAAAGTTTACAGTAAAATCTTATAAAGATCACTTTATTTTGTTACCAACAACCTATTTTCACTTAATTCACCTATGAGGTCAACCCTTTCATTTTTCACAGCCCCATCTAGAAAAGTAAAGCAGAATGGAAAAGGAATGTTAGAGAAACGCACTCTAACATCAGTAAGTTAACTGCTGACATGATGATAGACAAGAAAACACCAGAGCAGATCACTCAAAAAGCACAACTGGATAATGTTATTTAGTGAAGGGAGGAAGGGGGGGTAAGAAATGCCCTGAAACACAGTGCAATCACTGATGGCCCAACTGGTAAGCTTGAGTCCTCAAAAGAGTTCATTTAGTTCATGTTAACGTAAGAGACAGGTAGCAATACAGTATATTGTACAATACATTTAGAATGTAACACTAAGCATTATTGAGGCTATTGATTATCTCCAATAAGCTATATTTTATCCTCCTCTCCCCCACAACTATCTCTCAATCAAGGACTAAGCCTGTTCTGGAAGGGGAGGACTAGAACAAAGGAATTGTTCAAGACACCTAGGTCTGAAAACACAGCAACAATTGTTTTAAGTTGGAAGAACATGAGCAAAACTGAAGTCTAAATAACATTTCTACAGAAACCTCTTCCATCCCTAGCTTCCTTTTCTCTTTCTATAACAAAGCTACATAGTGCTTTAGTTTGGATTCTCAAAATGGAGAACCCCCAGCAACAGTATCAACATCTGAAAATTTATCAGAAATGCAAATTCTTAGGCTGGGACCCCAGGCCTTCAGGGGGCAAGGCCAGCAACCTATGGTAGACCAAGTTTTCCCTCCTGGTGATTCTGATACTTGCTCAAGTTTGATAGCTACTGCTCCAGATAATATGAATAGAAAAGGCAGAGAATTTTTTTTAACTTGTGGAACAAAATGATTCTTAAAAGACTAAAGTGACCAAAGAGAATAGGGGAGGAAAGTCTATTATATAAACTGTGCATTATTAACTAACACAGCATGTCCCTTCCAGATTAAGGTGTAACAATAACACTGACAACCTCTAATAAGTATAGCATAAAGATGGTACCTTCCAGATGTTTCAGGAGTGCCCTACTGCTATTTCCATGAGCAGATATCAGAATGGTTTTGCCACGTAACACTTCAGGAGCAATCCTTTCATTCCAAAAGGGAAGGAGTCTCTCCAGAACATCCTTTAAACTTTCACACCGCGGCAGTTGGTCCACTGGTACATCGCACACTTTGTACCTCCGGTCACTGTAGATTTCTTGGTAGTAAGGATGGGACTCCTCAATGGGTGGTGGGGTCACATTGTAGCTTCTTCTCCAGATCCTCACTTGCTCTTCGCCATGATTCAAAGCCATTTTCTCCCTATTGAGACCGATCAGGGCTCCGTAGTGACGCTCATTCAGACGCCAGGAGCTCTCCACGGGAACCCACTCCTGCCCTAGCTCTTCCAGGATCAGCCAGGCTGTGTGGATGGACCGATTCAGAACGGATGTGAATACTAGATCAAACTCAAAGTTTAGCGCTTTGAGTTGCTTCCCACAGTTTCGAGCTTCCTCCAGTCCGTCTTCGTTAAGTTTCTGATCCACCCAGCTACAAAAACGATTTTCTTTGTTCCAAGCACCTTCCCCATGTCTTAACATGATCAGTTTGTATTTGGACATACTGATGGCTGAGCTTCCCTTATGCCTTCAAGTGGCCAATGTTCAATGACAGAAATACATCTGGAAAGAGAAGAAATAAAACGCGTAAGTTATATTCTTCACTCAGCTGACTACCTGGGAAAGGAAGCACAACCTTACTACAACCAATTTCTAAAACAAACTAGGGTAATTCTTTTAAACAGTTTTTGATATCAGTCATCCGGCAACTCATATGCTATGGCGCACAAAGGCATATTCTACAGATAATTAATTACAGGGAACCTAGTTGACTTACATTTTCTGATGACTAGATAGTATGTTAATGATATGATGTAAAATAATGAGAACACTTCATTCTAATGGCATGCTGCATTTCCGCCAGATCAAAGGCAGTTTATTTACAGAAGAGAGGATTTACCAGAATGAGGTGCAGACGTCTACAAAGATGACTAGTAACTAGATTGAAAGCATCCTCTCACTTTGTTTTTCCTCTGGTGGAAAAAAAAATATTTACCAGTCTCACCTCACTGATGACGTCATTAAACATGTTAATTCAATAAACCACCACATTTATCTGGCATATAAATCACTGGTTGGTAGCAACTAGCTCTTCAAGGCCACAGGCTACACTGCATATAAGAAAATCTAAGTTTCAACATTCAAACAACATTAAAAGTGATTTAAAGCGACATGAACACCAAATGTGGTATTCACCTAAATAATCTCTCACCTGCCCGAATATAGTGCTTTTGGCAGGAATAAATCCGGATGCAAAACAAGTTATCAAATGCGCGCAGCTGAGCAACTGCTGCGTGTAGGAACAGATTAACAGAGCAGGTCTGCAGAAGTGAGAAGCTCAGTGATAAGGAGGCCCTGCCTCCTTCTCCCACACACTGACCACATCTCACGGGGAGAAGAATCTAGTGAAGTGGAGCAGGCAACCAAAAAGTGTGCTGAACTTGCTAAGCTAAGCTGCTGACCCAGAGATCTGCCGGGTCACTCTGTCTCCCAGGACTCTGCTGCCCGGCTGCATCGGCCTGCCTTCACTCACCCTGAAGCGGACCCAGCTTCACTGACAAATGCTGTCTGGTCTACATGCCCAGTGCTCGCCACCTCCACCCCAGCACTTTCCACACTGGGGAGCAAAGATTACATGAACGTCGGGGCCTGGTCTTCTGCCACTCTTGGCAACTTCCATTAACTGCAGATTTTCTGTCCCACTAAAACTGTGATTCAGTCAGTTATATAACCCTCAGGGACAAAGTTAATTGGAATCTAGAGCTAGTTTCTTCCTTTCTTTACTAATTCCTAAAGATTCTGAAGGTGGAAAAGGGCTTTAAAATTTAGGCTTCAGTGGAAGGCAAACTGAGGACCTGAGGAAGGCAGCAGATTGAGGTGATTTGCAAGTTGAAAGGTTCCAGCAATTAGGTTTATGATTTCCCTTTCTTGTCAAGTACCAGGTCTGAAGCTTTAGCACATGTGTAGCAGGGAGTTAAAAGCATGAGGTCACTAGCCGAAACCGGTTTGGCTCAGTGGATAGAGCATCGGCCTGCGGACTGAAAGGTCCCAGGTTCGATTCCGGTCAAGGGCATGTACCTTGGTTGTGGGCACATCACCAGTAGGGGGTGTGCAAGAGACAGCTGATCGATGATTCTCTCTCATCAATGTTTCTAACTCTCTATACCTCTCCCTTCCTCTCTGTGGAAAATCAATAAAATAATTTTTTCTTTTTTAAGCATGAGGTCACTGGAAGATCCTGAGCTCAGCTCAAGGTCCTCACTGAGAATTTCCAGAGGGAGAGGATGCCTCTACCCTCAGCCCAGAGGGGCAGCAGGGTGTCAGAAGAACAGAGAATGGGATGAAGGCATCTGGGCAGTATTTAGCTAGGTGATTACTGGTGTCCAGACGCAGCATAATTATGACGCTAATGAAGCTCAAGCTGGCACAAATGCCTTCTAAGGCACTAGGAAACCAAATAATGAATTCACATGGGTGTGTATGTAATTTACAAAAGAAGGTATTTTTGTATTGTTTCTTCTAAGAGCTCTAATCCACCAAGTAGTAGAAGCCTTAGGCCCGTGAAAACAAAATCCACCTCTCATAACATATATTGTCTTGTTTTTTTGGTGGGCGAGGAGAAAAGAACCTATCAACTGTTCCTCTGCCTCAGCCCTTCCATTGTCTTGTCAAGCAAAAAAAACCTTCTTACACTAACGAGCTATTTTCCCTTAAGATGAAGGGGGATAAGATGGGCAAATTTTGTAGGCAGAAGCACTTCCTCATCTTTTGGTTATGAACTCTACCACCAAGCTTTGCAGTATTTTAATCTGCTGTATTTGCTTACTGTTTAAGGAATAACCCATTTTCTCTGCCCCCCTTCTCCCTCAAAATATATACACTGGAGCAGAGAAACAGTCCTACAGCCACAAAGACTATACAAATACATACCTTTCCCTTACTGATGTACAGGGAGTGAATATGGAGTAAGGTCCCAAGCTAGTGAGTGTATCTATCTCAGGTAAACTAAAAGTCATTTCCCTTTCTCCTCCTTGATGCTATCTACTGACTTTTCCCATTTAATTAACTGCTAAATGTTTACAGAGGCACTGTTGAGGTTTACAGTTAGTGATCTTTAAGATTTTAATCCTTGTGGAGCTGGTATACCAAGTGTTCATCAACAAACACTAATCAGTTTGATTAAAGTTTAAGGCGTGGCCTGCAAACTCATGCCCCAGTGGCCAGACAGACGTGTGAATAAGCAGTGGTGCTGAGCTACAGGGGTGGTAGGAACGGTGGTGAGCTGCAGGGACGATACATGCTTCTTTGATGGATGTCACTCTGTGTAAGTGGACGAAGCTTTTGTATATCCTGGTCTCACTGAACTAAGGGTACCATTCTTAGAACTTTTCTGAAGAACTGAAAGAAGATGGGACTGCTGAAACCAAAGTCTGGAGAGAATGCAAGACTTAGACTCAGACCACAGAGAACCTATGGATTCCATTTTATTTTTAGCATAAATGTCTTTAAAAAAAAAAAAAGAAAAATAATCATTTCAGCTTCTAAAAGTTTACATTAAAGAAAAAAAAAAGGGGGGGGGGGGGAGGCGAGTAGCTACTACTTAGCTCCAGCCCTCTTCCTTGTGAGACTTGAAGAACTGGGGTTCCTAGATCTTCCAATTGTCAGAAACTCTGGAAATGCGCATTTTCATGTGATACCTGATACAAATTCTGGCGACTCAATTGGAATACAGTTTTTAAATGTGAGCTAAACAAAACATGTCTGCACGCTAGATTGAGTCTGCTAGTGTATGACCTGTGACTTAAAGAGAAATGTCCTCCTGGCCCAGTGAGTGGGGAGGCCATCATGCCATAGGAGATGGTCAGACCCCAAGCCTCCAGGCTCCAATCCCTGTTACTGTCCGACACATTCTTTCAAAGAACAGACCTTCTAATCCCCTATGAACTGTGCCTGTTCTTCCTTCACTAAACCCTTTGCCACCAGCCTGCGGAGTCCCAACTCTGTAATCAAACTCCCACTCAATTTTGTACTCTTCCTGGAATGCTTCCTCCAGCTCCGAGCTGTAACCAAGCTGAGAGTGAACTGAATGCAAACTATCTCCCAGCTGTCTGCTTCTCTCTTTAGTTGGGGGTGTTTGTGCCTCATATCCTGGAGCAGAAACAGGGGCAGTTGATGGGTGGGCAGGGTCCTGCTCCCTCTCAATGGTATTTCCAACCAAATACCTCCATCTATCTTTTTTTTTGGGGGGGGGGGGGGGGGTTGTGGAGGGCGCAGGGAGTGTGATTATGAGAATCTTGCTATATTCAGCTGTAGCTCTCTTGCCCTCATTTATTACCTGCAAACTTCCTGAAAACTAAGTGCCCCATTTAAAACCCTCAATTACTTCCTATTGATCTGAGGCTAAAGTTCAAAGTCCTTACTGTGACCAGCAAGGCTTTGGTTTTCTTTTATTTCCTTGAACATGCCATGCTTTTCTTGCCTCAGGACCTCTGCACATACTACACAGAACTCTCTCCCAGACCATCACTGTCTCCCCCCTCCACTTTCACTGCAGTCCCACACTGCTTTCAGTAATGTCTAGTCATCCTTTAGATCAGCTGCGTCCAGTCAAAATATAATGCAAGCCGTATATGTTCTAAAGCCATATTAAAAGTTAAAAATAGGTAAAATTAATTTTAATAGTACATTTTATTTAACCCTATAGGTTAAAAATATTATTATTCCATCATATGAGTTATATAAAAAAAATTTTAATCCTCACCCGAGAATATGTTTTTTATTGATTTGAGAGAGAGAGAGAAACATCAATGTGAGAGAAAAAATGATCAGTTGTCTCCCACACACACCCTGACCAGGAGTCAAACCTGCAACCTAGGTATATATCCTGAGGGGGAATAGAACCCACAATTTTTTGGTATACGAGATGATCCTCCCACTGAGCCACTCTTATAAAAATTCATGCAAGGATGGGGTCCCAATGGGGTGGATTGGAGCCGGGCCTGTCAGGAGGAGACGGTGGGAGGTTGGCCAGCTGGCCCGCTCTGATCAGGGCTGATCAGGACTGGGCCAGTTGAGGAGAAGGGCCCAGGACAATTGGCCAATGGGCCCTGCCCCCAACAGGGGGGGGGGCAATCTGGAGTAGTGCTGAGGGTAGGGGCCACAAGCCAATCAGGATGGTAGGTGCCCATTGGGGGTGGGGTTTGGCCAGGGGGAGGGGCTGCAGGAGATTGGCCAGCACCCCACCCTTGATCCAGGTAAGAGAGGCCAATCAGGGTGAGACTGGCTAGGGGTAGGAGCCTTGGGAGGTTGGCCAGTGGTCCCAACCCCTTGATCCAGCCAGTTTGCTGGCCACAGTAGGCATCATAGCGACTGGTCGTTCAAGCATTCTGGTTGCTGGCATAGACTAGAGGCTGGTTGCACAAAGATTCATACAATAGGCCTTCCCCTGGCTGCTGGCACCGGTTTTTTCTCTGCCCCCTCCTCTCCTGCGCTCCCCCTCATAG